TTCCATTGAATGAATAATGGATCCAGATCCTAAAAACAACAATGCTTTTGAATAAGCATGAGTAATCAAATGAAATAAAGCGGCTCGATAAGAGCCCATACCTAAAGCTAACATCATATAACCCAATTGAGACATTGTAGAATAGGCTAAATTTTTCTTAATATCTTTTTGAGCAATAGCTAAAGTAGCTCCTAATACTACTGTTATTATACCTATCAAAGCTATTCCACTCATTATCGAGGGTATAACTATGAAAAGAGGAAGAAGTCGAGCTACAAGAAAAATTCCTGCTGCTACCATAGTAGCAGCATGTATAAGAGCAGAAATAGGAGTAGGACCTTCCATAGCATCTGGTAACCATACATGAAGAGGGAATTGGGCAGATTTTGCAACTGAACCACAAAATAACAAGAGGGCACACAAAGTAACAAAAAGAATATTTACCTCATTCTTATAAATTAAGTTCTTGAATATTTGAAATAAATCCCTAAATTCCAAACTACCGGTTATCCAATAAAAACCTAAAATTCCTAATAATAAACCAAAGTCCCCTACACGATTCGTTACAAACGCTTTTTGACAAGCATTTGCCGCAATAGGACGTGTGAACCAAAAACCTATTAATAGATAAGAACACATTCCAACCAATTCCCAAAAAATATAAACTTGTATCAAATTTGAACTAGTAACTAATCCTAACATTGAAGTATTAAAAAAACTCATATAAGTAAAAAATCTCAAATACCCTTGATCATGAGACATGTAACTATCACTATAAATTAGAACCAGAATACCAACAGTAGTGATTAATATTGACATAATAGAAGTAAGTGAATCGATCAAGTAGCCAAATTCTAAAGAAAGATCATTATTTATAGTCCAAGACCATACATATTGATAGATAGAACTATTCTCGATTTGCTGAATAGATAAATCGATCGAAAAAATCATAACTATGGTTAACAAGAAAATACTAGGAAAAGCCCACATACGGCGAAGATTTTTTGTTGCCGTGGGAAAAAGTAGAAGTCCTACCCCTATTAAAATAGGAACTGGAAGAGGGATGAAAGGTATGATCCATGAAGATTGATGTGTATATTCCATACAAAAAGAAAGAATAAAAAATATTTAGATTCTTGATGAATTTTGTTTCTTATTCGTTTGTTTTATATCTTTTGTAAAGGGGCTCGGTTAATAAAAAAGTGGATATAGAAATAGAATTGGATATTCTTAATTGTTCTGAATCTTTGCACAATGGTCCCCATATTGGAAAGTACAAAGTCAAAACTGGCCAATAACAAAATTCCTAGTGAAAAAAATAAATAATAATTATTATTTTCAGTATTTCAGTAATATATTCATTAATTAATATTACTATTAATTCCTATGTTAGGTTAGTTATTTTTTAATTTATATATATATTAAGAAAAATGACTATTAATAATTGTAAAATAAAAATTTTTATCTCTTATCTATAGAGCGAGGATGAGGATAAATCAGTACACCAAAACTAACAACATTTGTTTATTTTGATATACATTAGAAAAATAATATAATATAAAATAATACTTTTTTTTTATTCAGAAACATTAGTTCCTTTTTGAACTAATTGATTCTTTTACATTACAATAAAAAGAGATCCATATATATCTATTATCTATGAAAAATTTGGAAAAGGTTTATAATATTCAATGTTTTTACTTTACCTTTCGATGGAAAAAAAGAGAAAGAGTTAATTTAGATAGATAAGACATACGGCTAATTACAGAATAATTCGTTTTCATTTACAGAACAAATGTCTTTCACATCAAACTATAGCAACGAAAAAACTATACTAATTGTATGCCAGTTCCAAAAAAACGCACTTCTATATCAAAAAAAAAAATTCGTAAGAATTTTTGGAAAAAAAAAGGATATAAGGCAGCATTGAAAGCCTTTTCATTAGCTGACTCTATTTTGACAGGTACCTCAAAAAGTTATCGTATTGTAATAAATACAAAACCTCGCCCTTTTTTGCCACGTAATCAAAAAAAAAGTTGTGTTATTGTAAGAAATACAAATGTTGGACGAGAATAATCTGAATTAGCTCGATTCAAAGAGTATTCTTTAATAGTCATTTTATACTAATACTATTATAGAATATGAAACATATATAAACATATATTTAGAATATATTCTATATTATAGAATATAGAATATATTCTAGATATATATATAATCTCATTTTTTTGAATGATTCATAAGCAACTACAAAAAAAATTTCTTTTTCATTACTGGATTGAAGTCAGAACTAGATAGTTCTAGTTTCAACAGTGCTTTTTTTTATTTGAAAAAGTATAAACTACAAAAAACCCATTCCCCGTCGTTGTTAAATTTGAAAACGAACACTGCATGGGAAAAAAAAAAAGAAATGAATATAGAAATCAAAACTTCTTTTACTTAAATTGAAAATGATTGCATATATCATATATTTCTATATTCATTTCTATTATATATTAGAAAAAATTAAATTACTTTTTATTATCAATTTAGTTTTATTATCAATTGAGAATAAATGTTTAGTAAATAGTAAAGAAATGTACTCAATAAATATTGGACTTCACTTTATTCAATCTCGACGATTGACTATTGACTTTGACTAAATAATTGGTTATTATGATTTCGAGTCAGCCGCTATGGTGGAATTGGTAGACACGCTGCTCTTAGGAAGCAGTGCTAGAGCATCTCGGTTCGAGTCCGAGTAGCGGCATGGACTCCTACCCGATATTTTAAAAATTTTACAAGATTAATAAGTCCTATAATGAAGTCAATTTCCTATTTCTATTCCGAGTAGTAGATATCTGGCTACGAAAAATAAAAAAGTACGATCAAAGAAAATACAAAGAAATGGACCATATTTTTTGATAATGTATCTCAGATAAATTTTGACTATTCTTACCTATGAACTCCGCTAGATTCAACTTTTTGGTCGTTCAACCAACTAATTGAACCATTTGAATATTGTTGAAATATGAACATTTGTTATTGCATCGCAGAAAAAATCGAAACAAACTAGAATCATTCATTTTCATACTTCCTAGAATATACATCGATTCCTTTTTCATCTAGAAAGAGCATATCTCTGTACGCCTAGATAAATTATGTATAATTATTAAGACCACTAATCAATATGTATCTATTCCTCCCAATATTTGATTTTTGAAAAGAAATATGGGAATAGATACTCATACATAATGAGTCGCCGGGAACCAGATTTGAACTGGTGACACAAGGATTTTCAGTCCTTTGCTCTACCGGCTGAGCTATCCCGACCATTAAAATCTTGACGCACCATCCTAATTTGAGGGAAATTACTTGAGTCTATGTCAACTCAATAAAAAAAAGGGAAAGGGCCATAAAAATGAGCAAATTCAATCGGCTTTTGGGGATAGAGGGACTTGAACCCTCACGATTTTTAAAGTCGACGGATTTTCCGATTACTAAAACTTTCATTGATGTCGGTATTGACATGTAGAATGGGACTCTATCTTTATTCTCGTCTGATTAATCAGTTATTCAAAAGATCCATCATATTTTGGTGGAGTGACTGATTTGATCAATGAATATTCACCATTTTTTCTTCCAGTTGGAATTGATTTGATTCTAATGTTTCGTTTCAATTGTGATCGAATCAAAACTAAAAAAAATAGTTACAATTTACAAATAGAAGTTAGAAATCTTCATTAATCAATTGAATGTTGTCAACTCCATTTGTTAGAATAGCTTCCATTGAGTCTCTGCACCTATCCTTTTTTTCTGAACTTTTAGTTTTTTGTTTTCGGAAAGAAGGATTTGGCTCAGGATTGCCCATTTAAAATTCCAGGGTTTCTCTGAATTTGAAAGTTTTCACTTAATATGTTTCCATACCAAGGCTCAATACAATTAAGTCCGTAGCGTCTACCAATTTCGCCATATCCCCCGTTTGACTTGCTTTTCGTTCATCTAGAAGCTATATTTATTTAGTCGAGAAAGAATTCTCTTCTCGCTGTATTATATAGTACATGTTGTATTATATAGTAGATGCTGTATTATATTATGTTATGTTTTCACTTAACATTACTATGTTTCCATACCAAAGCTCAATACAATTAAGTCCGTAGCGTCTACCAATTTTGAATCGACCCTTTGACTAGCTTTTCGTTCATCTAGAAGCTATATTTATTTAGTCGAGAAAGAATTCTATTCTCGCTGTATTATATAGTAGATACTGTATTATATCGTACCGTATTCTATTTGAGATGTTGTATTCTATTTGAGATGTTGTATTCTATGTTGCAATTGGATTAGAATTGGAGTATAATAATATTGAACCATGACATAAGATAGATATCATATTCAGAGAATATGATTCCCTTTAAGGATGCCTTGGTGGTGAAATGGTAGACACGCGAGACTCAAAATCTCGTGCTAAACAGCGTGGAGGTTCGAGTCCTCTTCAAGGCATAATATTGAGATCTCTTATTGAAATTGAATTGGAATAAGTTCGCCAGCAGATCACGAAGTTTTGGTGATCTTATCTATCTAATGAATGGAGAGTACATTTTGAAATCGTCCCACCTGCAATCCCCCTACCCTAAACCAACGGATAAAGTACATTATATATTTGATTTTGGAGATTGGTGACTTACCCATTCAATGACTTTGGCACTCGACATTCAAAAAAATGGGTACTGTACGCTCGGGTCGGGTGAATTCCAAAATAGCCGCCTATGTCAACCTTCTTTCTCCTTTCAGGACAGGACCTATCCGAAAAGAAAGAAAATTCTGTACTTATTGGTCGTGAATATCTGAATAGGACAAATTACCCTGTGGATCTCTTTATTTGCTTCAAAACAAGTAGGCTCGGTCAACGGCAATATGGATTATCAATATTAGGGGATCTTTCAATTGAGAAGATCCCCTAATATCGACTTGAGACGACGAGAAAGAAAGTATCTATTTTATTTCATTTCATTATTCAGTTAAACCAATCGTTCGTTATTGGAACAGATAGTCACAACCATCTCGTCTGGGAAAAGCCATTTTTTTCTCAACAATGTCTTTGTGAGTTGAGCCAATAGGGTTCCGTTAGATAGGAACAGATTTGATAAATATTGATAACTCTCGTATAGAGTATTAGAACGAAAAAATTCATTTGATACTGAACTATTGGTTCTAAACCATCTCTGGCGATCAATCAACAATTTGAAATTCTGTTCTTGCATATTCTTCCTAAACCAGGGTTTATTTAGATATTTCCAATCAATTTTTTGGGTTTGGGAAGTCAAAAGTATCCTTGACATCTCTTCATCTGGAGAAAATTCTTGATGTGAAAATACAGATCCAAAAGGATCCTCTTGGAATAGCAAAAACAGTGGATCTGCGGGGTCCCAAATGAATTGGCTTATTCGAAAAAAGCCCTGTTCGTTGGAAAATCTCGCTCGTGTCTGGTCCTGCATGATTCCATCCTGCAAGAACTGCGAATCATTATCATTCTCTTGAAGCTTACCCTCTTCATCATAATCATCAAGGATCGGTTTGTCCTGAAATGACCCTTCCCAATAGGGAAATCTCAATTCATTGGACCCTTCGTCAAAGAGAAAGCCCCAAGGGCGCCACAGTCTCGGAGCCCAAAGTATGTGATTGAATAAATCCTCCTCTAGCGGTTGCGGGTCGAAGACTCCTTCCCCTTCTTCGAACCCCGATTCATATTTTTCATAGAGAAATCTCTGATCAACGATAGAAGAAGACCCATTTTGAATCATATTTAAGGGATTTCTTGGTTCGGACCGAAGAAGCAATGTCACGCCATCATTATCAAACCGACTTCCTGTCTGTGAGGGTTCCAGCAGAGCACCTTCTATTTCTAATAGCCCATGAACTAGATCAGAATCATTCTCAAGGAGTCTATAAGAAGTGATCCCATCATTTGTTTCATTAGGTCCGGGTAGAGACCAAAGATCTTGAGCGACCGATCCGGCAGAACAACTCAAAAGATAAAGAAGTATGGTTAATTTCTTCATGCTTGTTCCAAGTTGGAAGTACCATTTGTACAAATAAGAATCCCCCTCTGCACATGATTTCTTCTTCATATAGATAGATATAGGATCGATAGAGCAATTACTTAGAAGTAGATTTTGTGAAACAGCCCTCCCTATCTGATAAAAAAGGATCCCATGATCCTGAATCGATCTTATCTGAGATCTAAAATCCCAAGTTTGTCTATGAAGAGCAGATCTAATTATATTAGTGTCTATAATAGATTTCTTTTGTATAATACTAATCGATAGCGCCTCATTAGTAAGTGCTACAAGATCTCGTACATTAGAACCCAGAGTTATAGACCCCAATCCATTAGTATCGAATATTTGCTTTTCCAAGTGAAATCCCCTAGTATATGAAAGAGTAAAAAAGTGCTTTCTTTGTTGTGGAATAAGAAGCCTTCGTATCTTAATGCATGTATTTAATTTATTCGGAGCTATTAAAGCAGGGTCTACTTTTTTTGGAATATGAGTAGAAGCAATAACTAGAATATTTCTAGTAGAACCTTTTTCCGAATCGCTGGAAAGAGAGTTCACTAATATACCCAGCGATAAGTCATTCGACTCATTCCTATCCAGATCATGAATGTTTGGAATCCAAATTATGCAAGGAGACATTGCTTTTGCTAATTCGAATTGAAGCGTGAGATAAAACCGGTCTATTTCCATCAGATCGCTAGATACCGGATCCTCCATACTTAGAAACTTCAACTGGCTATCAAGCTTACGGTCGAGATCGTCACTATCATCCCTTTCATAATTCTCGGAATTATAGCAACTACCCTCGTTATTAGGTAAAAGACTGTAAATGGTACCCTCTCTTTCATCAAACATGTCGTCCTCACTATCATCACTATCAAAACCCTTAGGAAAGTTCTCCAGGAACTTGTTTACAAATACTGTAATGAAAGGAACATAGGTGGTTGTCGCTAGATATTTGAGCAAATAGGATCGTCCAGTTCCTATCGAACCTATCACTAAAATACCCCTAGCAGGGGATAGGGCTAAGCGTAGCGAAAAGGGTTTCCCATGAGATGATAAATCCAAACAACTAGCCCCACACGGGATTTCTGAATAAGTGATTGTCTGATAATGAGCGAGGAATACCCGTCTTTCTGCTAAGCAGGATGTATTGAACTCATAATTCATCAGATCCTTTTTATGAATGTCAATTAAATATCGTAAGTAAATTGTTCCTGGTTGCTCAATCATTTGATAACCAGAGTTATTCTTTGATAACTGATCACTATTAGTCAGACTCAATAAAATTTGATCCAGCCTTTTTTCTGTCGTTAAGGTAGAGAACTGAACCAAGAATTCTCTTTCTTTATCAGCAATGAAATCACTAGTCGAGATCCAGGATTCTATTTTATCATCAATCCAATTACTATTCATGTTTTTTCTTTTCCTTATCAATGAATAGATTGCTTTACTTGTATGACTTAAATGTCTCGTATTTCTCAAAAACGCGATTCGATTGATGGGATTTGGTATAATACTTATGAGATCCATGAGATTAAAACCGTTCTTCTTCGAACGTATGGATTTGACCCCATCAGCGAAACCACCACCCCTTGGGATGTCCCCGCCAGAAGGCCAACCTCGCCTTTCTTCTAAAAAATTTCCTAATTGTTCTCGAGCAACTCCAAAGATATCCTTTAACCAGAAAGAATTTTGTTCTGATAGAGGATACCTATCCAGAAGTTTTCGCAATTCAATGATGTAGGATGGAATCATCAAAGATTTGACCTGTTCGAACTCTGTCTGTAACTCATTAGAGAAGCGAGAAACAAAGAAAAGATGTGTATAAACAAGATATCCAGTAACAAGAAGAAGTAAAAGGATTGAAACCAGGAACTCCTCAATATTTCGTGATCTCAGATGTGTCGATATGAATGGTGACTCATTATTTGTGTGAAAAAGATCTTTGTACATGTCTACAAGAAAATTATGGAAAGACTTACTCGAAATCTCACTTATACGATTCCGTTGTGAAAGACACAGTTTTTTCCGAAGAATTCCCCACAGTTTTTTCCGAAGACTTCCCTTGGATCCATGCATAATATTCTGCCAAATAGATACAAATTTTTTAAATTGAGGACTCCTCCTTAGTATCGCAAATAGGTCTGAAAGAGTATCTAAAAATATGAAATTGATATATTTGTGCCCTGTCCAGGTAAGGAACAACGGTATTATATACGGGCGTAATCGCTTCAATTTGGAGAGAATTGAAGAAATACTCTTTCTTTTTCTTTTTCTTTGAAAGTTTCTATACATCTGCCCTTTTCCAAGGAATTTTTTTAGAGGTTTTTTCCTCTTTGCGGATGGTATAAATTTTTCAGAATATAGAGTGTCAAGCAAACCCAAACCCATGTTTGAATCGAAATCAAGATACTGATGCAAGTTCTTCCTTTTTGAATCAGATAAATTAATAGGGGAAAGAGGTTGACAAGAAGTTCTTTCCAAATTCACTATTTCTTCCTCTGTTAGAGGTGTTCCAGAAATGTCCGCGATCGAGTAAATAGATCTAGGAACACGAGTTGAAAAATGGAAAGATTTGTACAAGTCATATCCGTCATCACCACTTTGCGGAAAATTCTTCGGTCTCAATATCTTAGAGACCTCTAACTCGCTTGGTGAAATAGTATCTCTGTCCAAAAAAGCATGTGTTTTTTTACCGCCGCACAAAGAAAATCTTTTCTTTCGAATGAACAAGACATTGAGGAATTGTTCATACATAAAATCATAATTATAGGACCTTTCCCCATAAAAAGAGAATCTTTTGTTACAATCGAAAGAGAAGTTATATTGATTATTCAAGAATCGAAGTCGATTTACTTTATAAAAAGAGGAAATCAATGAACTTCTATGAAAACATTTCACAGGATTCAGCCAATTGTCTTGGTTTGGTATCTTATTGAACAAAAATGGTAATATTGTTCCTTCATTGATCAAGAATTTTGATTTTTGAGAAGTATAATAGTCATCCAATAATGGGGATTTCCTTTTTTTCAAATGAACCGTTTGCAGACCTATTGATTCTAACAACTGATTCTCGAGTGCATCATTCATACGTTTCAATTCATACATATGGCTCTGGGACCTATGAACGGGCATACTCCCGAAACTCACAAAGAAAAAAGGAAGTGAGTTAGACAAAAAGGGAAGAAGCTTGGACAAAAAGAAACAAAGTGACTTAGAAAAATCTTTTTTGTCGATAACCTCAGCCCAATCAATCGAATATGCATTCATATGTAATCGATCGAACACTACTTTAAAACGACTATTCTGCTCAGAAATGAAATGGTCCAAATGTTCCTGGAAATTTGTGCTCCCCTTGGACCATTTGTATTTATATGCATTTGGATCCTTATTCACGGATCTCTCGGTTCGATAAATAAAAATAAGACGATCAAAGCATTTCTTCTGACTCTTTTTCAAATTTGAGAAACGTTGATTGATCGTGTGTTTCCTTATAGGTCTATGATTCAGAATATCATTTTGATACCTTTGAAGTACATATTCGAAGTTGCGATTGAATCGATTACCTTGAAAATAATTCCCACAAGAGGTCTGGACCCATTTTTTTATGATCTTTGGATAAAAAGATTCATTCGCTTCGTCAAAAAGCCGCGGCAGAACCAATAAAGATTTTTTTTTTGATTCCGGTTCAGAAAACCCAATAGAAAAAGAGAATCCATTACGATAGACCAGATCCGGCTTAGTTAGTGATAGATTAAATAGATTTGCCATTTCTTGAAATCTCTCTTCTGATTGAAAATTGCGATGTAACAAGTACCCCCCCCTATTCTGGTCATGGAATAGATGAAATAAACCAAAAACTAGATTTTTGGTCAAGAATGAATTATTATTTTGAACTGTCAAAAGTTTCTCCTTTGCAATCCTATCACATCCTCCATCGGATGAAATAGGATGAATTGAGACATTATTTTGTAAATACATGATTATCTTGACTATATTGGCTAGTTCTTTCTTTTCCAATTTCCTCCAAAGAACAAAAGAAACATCTTCTTCTTTCTTTAATAATTGAAGATCTTGAGCGGACTTCTCAGTAGGATTCAAATCCAGATGAAGTTGGGACCATCTGTCCGAGAAAAAAGAGCGATCAGAGATCTTTTTTTCTTTTGGACCAGACAGGAGCGGAACAATCAACCTATTGATATTGAACGAATCTTTTGAGTCTTCCAATCTATCATTGCCGGATCCAATGGAATTTATTTGTATAGGAAGAAGCCCTGTCAAATAAATATTTTTTTTTTCGATCATCCTTCGATTGTTAATACGATATAGAAGGATCGCTACTACAAAAAGTACTACATTCTTGATCGTGAAATATCGATTTCTTGTTAAACCCTGTGACTGACGTGAAACTAGGATACTCCAAATTCTGGAGTCTAAGACTTTTATCAAACTCTCTTGATGCAAAAAAATGTGAATGACAGATATCGCTGAATTGAATTGCGTCCAGGAATCTAAGAAATAGGCACAATTCTTGCTCTCTCTAAAAATTTCTCGCAATTCGAAAATCCAAAAGTGGAATTGATTGTTCTTCATAGGATCCTCCTTAAAAAATTAAAAATAATTTATCTCTTTATGTATGTATTTCTATTAAGTTATTTATTTATGTATGTATTTCTATTAAGTTATTTCTTTATGTATGTATTTCTATTAAGTTATTTATTTATGTATGTATTTCTATTAAGTTATTTCTTTATGTATGTATTTCTATTAAGTTATTTCTTTATGTATGTATTTCTATTAAGTTATTTCTTTATGTATGTATTTCTATTGATTTATCCAAAAGATTTCACTTCAATTGAAATTTGGTTATTCATCAAGTCGGAGGGTTGTTCCCTCGAAGCATCCATGGCTGAATGGTTAAAGCGCCCAACTCATAATTGGCGAAGTCGTAGGTTCAATTCCTACTGGATGCATGCCAATAGAAATATCTCCCCTAAAAACTATATTTTTAATCATGAATTATTATTTTGAACTGTCAAAAGTTTCTCCTTTGCAATCCTATCACATCCTCCATCGGATGAATATAGGATGAATTGAGACATTATTTTGTAAATACATGATTATCTTGACTATATTGGCTATTTCTTTCTTTTCCAATTTCCTCCAAAGAAAAAAAGAAACATCTTCTTCTTTCTTTAATAATTGAATTTGAAAATAATAGAAACTTCAAGAATTGATCATTTCTAAATAAAGAAAGAATTTCTTTATTTATTCTATTTAAATAATTTCTGATCTGTAGTAGACCTCTTAGCTTAGTAGTATTTGAATCGAGACTTGGATCTGTATCAATGGAATCTCATCATCCATACATAACAAATTGGTGTGGTATATTCAAATTTTAATAAATGAACAGTAAAAAAACTAGTATTTTTAGTGAGACTAGAACTCATCGGGAAGAAAGAATAAAATAGATTTATGAATGGAATAAAATCTGCAGTATTTACAGACACTAAATTTTCGTTATTTCGAAAAAATCAATATACTTTTCATGTCAAATCAGGATTAACTAGGACAGAAAGAAAACATTGGGTCGAACTCTTCTTTGGTGTCAAGGTAAGAACTATGAATCAACTCGCAATCCCAATAAAGGGTAGAAGAATACGACCTATTATGGGACATACAAGGCATTACAAACGTATGATCATTACGCTTCAACCGGGTTATTCTATTCCACCTCTTAGAAAGAAAATAACTTAAATAAAAATACACTTCATAACATGGCGATACATTTATCCAAAACTTCTAGCCCGAACACACGCAATGGAGCCGTAAACAGTCAAGTGAAATCCAATTCACGAAATCGTTTGATTTCTGGACAGCATCATTGTGGTAAAGGGCGTAATGCCAGAGGAATCATTACCGCAGGGCATAGAGGGGGAGGTCATAAGCGTCTATACCGTAAAATTGATTTTCGACGCAATGAAAAAGACATATATGGTAGAATTGTAACTATCGAATACGACCCTAATCGAAATGCACACATTTGTCTCATACACTATGGGGATGGTGAGAAAAGATATATTTTACACCCCAGAGGGGCTATAATTGGAGATACCTTATTTATGGTACAAAAGTTCCTATAAAAATGGGAAATGCCCTACCTTTGAGTGCGGTTTGAACTATAGATTTACGTAATTGGAAGTAACCAATTAGGTTTAAGGCGAAACCTAGAAATCGATCACTGATCCTATTTGAGTACCTCTACAGGATAGACTTCAACAGAAAACTGAAGAGTAACAGCAGCAAGTGATTGAGTTCAGTAGTTCCTAATATAAAATTATTGACCCTAGAGATATAGTAATATGGAGAAGACAAAATTGTTTCAAGCACCGACAGAACACGAAGTGCTCCTCGTTTCAAAAAACAAAGGGGGGAAGACACAGATTATTCACATTTCATTTGATGGTCAAAGGCAAATTGAAAGCTAAGCAGTGGTAATTCTAAGGATTCCCCCGGGAAAAAATAGAAATGTCTCCTACGTTACCCGTACTATGTCTAAGTAGCAACGTAATTTCATAGAGTCATTCGGTCTGAATGCTACATGAAGAACATAAGCCAGATGAAGGAACAGAAAGACCTAGGATGTAGAAGATCATAACATGAGTCATTCAGAATATTTGGATTCGTATATTATATATCCACTCATGTGGTATGGTACTTCGTTATGTCATATATAATATACGAAATAAACGATATATAAGATGTATCTGTATAGATATTCTAATCTACATCCAGAAAGCCGTATGCTTTGGAAGAAGCTTGTACAGTTTGGGAAGGGGTTTTGATTGATCAAAAAGACGAATCTACTTCAACCGATATGCCCTTAGGCACGGCCATACATAACATAGAAATAACACTTGGAAAGGGTGGACAATTAGCTAGAGCAGCGGGTGCTGTAGCGAAACTGATTGCGAAACTGATTGCAAAAGAGGGTAAATCAGCAACATTAAAATTACCTTCTGGAGAGGTCCGTTTGATATCAAAAAACTGCTCAGCAACATCGGGACAAGTGGGGAATGTTGGGGTAAACCAGAAAAGTTTGGGCAGAGCCGGAGCTAAACGTTGGCGAGGCAAGCGTCCTGTAGTAAGAGGGGTAGTTTATGAACCCTGTAGACCATCCACATGGGGGTGGTGAAGGGAGGGCCCAATTGGTAGAAAAAACCCTCAACTCCTTGGGGGTATCCTGCACTTGGAAGAAGAACTAGAAAAAGGAAGAAATATAGTGATAATTTGATTCTTCGTCGCCGTAGTCAATAGTGGATAGTAGAGAAAATAGAATTTGTTTCTTCGTCTTTACAAAAGAAAAGAGCGATTGACTATGACATTCTATGATTTTCTTTTTTGAGAGATTCTATATTTTAAAAAGAGATTCTATATTTTAAAAATTGGAAATAAAATAAAAAATATAAGAGAAAAAATTCATTTTTTTAGAAATTTTAAGAGGAATAATTAACTATGACACGTTCACTAAAAAAAAATCCTTTTGTAGCGAATCATTTATTAAGAAAAATAAATAAGCTTAACACAAAAGGAGAAAAAGAAATAATAATAACTTGGTCCAGAAGATCTACCATTCTACCTACAATGATTGGGCATACCATTGCTATCCATAATGGAAAAGAGCATTTACCTATTTATATAACAGATCGTATGGTAGGCCATAAATTGGGGAGAATTTTCACCTACTCGAAACTTCCGAGGCTTTGCGAAAAATGATAATAGATCTCGTCGTTAACATTCATTTTAACATAAACTTTAGTAATAGTCATTAATAAATATTAATTAATAAATTACTCAAAAAGAATTGTATTATTCTGCAATCAAAAAACAGATTTTATTTTTTCGTGAAATAGAACCAATACAGAGAAATATAACCCTTTGTTCAAAAAATATTTTTGTCTATTCACAACACAAAGGCGTGAATGGTAATTAATAATATTCAAAAATTGAAAGGGTTATTATAATAGAACTAATGCTTTGCAGAAAAAAAAAGATATATCAAGATATTAAAAAAAATATATATATAATAGATAAAAAAGTAGACAAATCAGACGTATTATTTTATATAGAGTAGTGAGGGATTATGGGACAAAAAATACATCCGCTTGGTTTCAGACTTGGTACAACTCAAAGTCATGATTCTATTTGGTTTGCACAACCAAGAATTTATTCCGAGAATGTAAAAGAAGATAAAATAATACGAGATTGTATCAAGAATTATATACAAAAAATACAAAAAACAACAACCGCTGTCGATGGCGAGGGAATTGGACGAATAAAGATTAAAAAAACACGCGATCTGATTCACGTGATAATCAATATGGGACTTCCAAACCCAAACTTAGTAATAGAGGATAACCCTGAAAGAATGAAGAATTACATACTAATGTGCAAAAAAAAATAAATTGTGTGAACCGACAAATCAACATTGAAATTACAAGAATTCCAAATGTTTTATAGAGACCCGAATATTCTTGCAGAATTTCTAGCCAGACAATAAAGAATAGAATTCCGTTTCGTAAAGCAATGCAAAAAACTATAAAAAAATTCGCTGAAGAGGCAGGTGCAGGTACAAAAGGAGTTCAAATACAAATTGCGGGACGCATCGACGGAAACGAAATTGCACGTGTCGAATGGATCAGAGAAGGTAGGATTCCTCTACAAACCATTCGAGCTAAAATTGATTATTGTTCCTATCCAGTTCGAACTATTTATGGGGTCTTTAGGAATCAAAGTTTGGATATTTATAAACAACGGACTAATAACCTTTTCCTTATAACGTTCCATCTTTTGAGAAAACAAAAAATGACGAATTCTTACTACGTTCTTATTCTCAAAGAAGAAATGAAAAATTTTAAAAGATTAAATAAAAAAAAATTAATTAATCATTTTATAATGAAGGAGTTGCTATGCTTAGTGTG